CACGCACACATTTGAAACACACACGCACACATTTGAAACACACACACACACACACACACACACACACACACACACACACACACACACACACACACACACACACACACACACACACACACACACACACACACACACACACACACACACACACACACACACACACACACACACACACACACACACACACACACACACACACACACACACACACACACACACACACACACACACACACACACACACACACACACACACACACACACACACACACACACACACACACACACACACACACACACACACACACACACACACACACACACACACACACACACACACACACACACACACACACACACACACACACACACACACACACACACACACACACACACACACACACACACACACACACACACTACTACTACTATGTACAACTGCCACAAAATGGCCACGTCGCTCCCAGAAGCGGGAGACAACAGCGAGAAAAAAGAAACAAGGAGAATAATTGAGGTGAAAGGGGACCGTTCTACACATAGCTAGTGTTTCTGTCTTCGGTGGCGGGTGAGGTCCTGCGGGCGGGAGAATCGTTCGTTACATAGGCTGCATTGAATGGGCAGATTAGTCCTCTGGTCCTTTCGCAGTCGTTTGCCTCGAGTACAATTATGGCGGTTAAAACCAGCCTGACTCTTCATGCAGCGATCACAGATCGAGCAATGGTGCTGGCAGCAGTCCAAATTCAGGCTGCATCTCGTTGAAACGTACAATTATGGCGGTTAAAACCAGCCTGACTCTTCATGCAGCGATCACAGATCGAGCAATGGTGCTGGCAGCAGTCCAAATTCAGGCTGCATCTCGTTGAAACAGCTGGTATTTCGTCCGATGTCTGACGCTCCACACAACGATGAACTGCAAAACCGCCAGCGCTTTGAAACCAGCGGTCACAAACTCCACAGTGACGGGCCCCAGGCTGCTGGGCAACAGGTAAGGACCGTACAGCTGAGCACTTGTGACGGTGAATCCCACGAGCAGTGAATGATCGGTTGCAAACCTTGCAGGTGACTTTGTTGTTGTTACACTCCACGAGATCATCCGGAGTCTTTGCAATTGCCTCGCGCCATGCTGGGCGATCCTGAGCCAAAGTGAGCCAATTCACTATGCCACCGAAACGAAGATCACGTGCGACGAGGTCTTTCCATTGCAGTCGTGGCCCACAGGCTGGGCGTGGATCTGAGAAGAAGCTAAACAGTATCAGCTTCGGAAGCCGGTTATCTGGCATTCTGGCGACATGCCCAAGCCACTGCAGACGGCGGTGTCTGACGGTATCAGATGGCAGTGCCATATCACCCCAGCGTCTTCGCAGCTCCTGGTTGTTGACATGCTGCAGCTGTTGATCGAGCCGGGATACACCCAGAATTAACCTGAGGGAGCGGTGGTGGAAGTTGTTGATGGCAACCATGTCTCTCTTCAGCGGAGTCCAGCACTCACAGGCATAGAGCAATGTGGACAGAACGCAAACATCGTAAAGATGGCGCTTGGTGGCGATGGAAAGGTTTCGGTCAAGAAAGACACGGCGCATAAGGTCGAAAGCTGCCGCTGCCTTACCGAGTCTTCTGGCCACATCTGCAGATGAGCGGGTGTCAGCAGTTATCACAGAGCCAAGATACACAAAGGATTTGACACTTTCGATCTCCTCCGGACCAACAAAGAGCGGAAGGCGGTCAGCACATGATAAATTTGCACCAACGGCCATGAACTTGGTCTTCGCTGTACTCAGAGTCAAGCCGAAGGAAGAAGCAACACACACACACACACACACACACACACACACACACACACACACACACACACACACACACACACACACACACACACACACACACACACACACACACACACACACACACACACACACACACACACACACACACACACACACACACACACACACACACACACACACACACACACACACACACACACACACACACACACACACACACACACACACACACACACACACACACACACACACACACACACACACACACACACACACACACACACACACACACACACACACACACACACACACACACACACACACACACACACACACACACACACACACACACACACACACACACACACACACACACACACACACACACACACACACACACACACACACACACACACACACACACACACACACACACACACACACACACACACACACACACACACACACACACACACACACACACACACACACACACACACACACACACACACACACACACACACACACACACACACACACACACACACACACACACACACACACACACACACACACACACACACACACACACACTACTACTACTATGTACAACTGCCACAAAATGGCCACGTCGCTCCCAGAAGCGGGAGACAACAGCGAGAAAAAAGAAACAAGGAGAATAATTGAGGTGAAAGGGGACCGTTCTACACATAGCTAGTGTTTCTGTCTTCGGTGGCGGGTGAGGTCCTGCGGGCGGGAGAATCGTTCGTTACATAGGCTGCATTGAATGGGCAGATTAGTCCTCTGGTCCTTTCGCAGTCGTTTGCCTCGAGTACAATTATGGCGGTTAAAACCAGCCTGACTCTTCATGCAGCGATCACAGATCGAGCAATGGTGCTGGCAGCAGTCCAAATTCAGGCTGCATCTCGTTGAAACAGCTGGTATTTCGTCCGATGTCTGACGCTCCACACAACGATGAACTGCAAAACCGCCAGCGCTTTGAAACCAGCGGTCACAAACTCCACAGTGACGGGCCCCAGGCTGCTGGGCAACAGGTAAGGACCGTACAGCTGAGCACTTGTGACGGTGAATCCCACGAGCAGTGAATGATCGGTTGCAAACCTTGCAGGTGACTTTGTTGTTGTTACACTCCACGAGATCATCCGGAGTCTTTGCAATTGCCTCGCGCCATGCTGGGCGATCCTGAGCCAAAGTGAGCCAATTCACTATGCCACCGAAACGAAGATCACGTGCGACGAGGTCTTTCCATCGCAGTCGTGGCCCACAGGCTGGGCGTGGATCTGAGAAGAAGCTAAACAGTATCAGCTTCGGAAGCCGGTTATCTGGCATTCTGGCGACATGCCCAAGCCACTGCAGACGGCGGTGTCTGACGGTATCAGATGGCAGTGCCATATCACCCCAGCGTCTTCGCAGCTCCTGGTTGTTGACATGCTGCAGCTGTTGATCGAGCCGGGATACACCCAGAATTAACCTGAGGGAGCGGTGGTGGAAGTTGTTGATGGCAACCATGTCTCTCTTCAGCGGAGTCCAGCACTCACAGGCATAGAGCAATGTGGACAGAACGCAAACATCGTAAAGATGGCGCTTGGTGGCGATGGAAAGGTTTCGGTCAAGAAAGACACGGCGCATAAGGTCGAAAGCTGCCGCTGCCTTACCGAGTCTTCTGGCCACATCTGCAGATGAGCGGGTGTCAGCAGTTATCACAGAGCCAAGATACACAAAGGATTTGACACTTTCGATCTCCTCCGGACCAACAAAGAGCGGAAGGCGGTCAGCACATGATAAATTTGCACCAACGGCCATGAACTTGGTCTTCGCTGTACTCAGAGTCAAGCCGAAGGAAGAAGCAACACACACACACACACACACACACACACACACACACACACACACACACACACACACACACACACACACACACACACACACACACACACACACACACACACACACACACACACACACACACACACACACACACACACACACACACACACACACACACACACACACACACACACACACACACACACACACACACACACACACACACACACACACACACACACACACACACACACACACACACACACACACACACACACACACACACACACACACACACACACACACACACACACACACACACACACACACACACACACACACACACACACACACACACACACACACACACACACACACACACACACACACACACACACACACACACACACACACACACACACACACACACACACACACACACACACACACACACACACACACACACACACACACACACACACACACACACACACACACACACACACACACACACACACACACACACACACACACACACACACACACACACACACACACACACACACACACACACACACACACACACACACACACACACACACACACACACACACACACACACACACACACACACACACACACACACACACACACACACACACACACACACACACACACACACACACACACACACACACACACACACACACACACACACACACACACACACACACACACACACACACACACACACACACACACACACACACACACACACACACACACACACACACACACACACACACACACACACACACACACACACACACACACACACACACACACACACACACACACACACACACACACACACACACACACACACACACACACACACACACACACACACACACACACACACACACACACACACACACACACACACACACACACACACACACACACACACACACACACACACACACACACACACACACACACACACACACACACACACACACACACACACACACACACACACACACACACACACACACACACACACACACACACACACACACACACACACACACACACACACACACACACACACACACACACACACACACACACACACACACACACACACACACACACACACACACACACACACACACACACACACACACACACACACACACACACACACACACACACACACACACACACACACACACACACACACACACACACACACACACACACACACACACACACACACACACACACACACACACACACACACACACACACACACACACACACACACACACACACACACACACACACACACACACACACACACACACACACACACACACACACACACACACACACACACACACACACACACACACACACACACACACACACACACACACACACACACACACACACACACACACACACACACACACACACACACACACACACACACACACACACACACACACACACACACACACACACACACACACACACACACACACACACACACACACACACACACACACACACACACACACACACACACACACACACACACACACACACACACACACACACACACACACACACACACACACACACACACACACACACACACACACACACACACACACACACACACACACACACACACACACACACACACACACACACACACACACACACACACACACACACACACACACACACACACACACACACACACACACACACACACACACACACACACACACACACACACACACACACACACACACACACACACACACACACACACACACACACACACACACACACACACACACACACACACACACACACACACACACACACACACACACACACACACACACACACACACACACACACACACACACACACACACACACACACACACACACACACACACACACACACACACACACACACACACACACACACACACACACACACACACACACACACACACACACACACACACACACACACACACACACACACACCTTTGACCTTTGACGCCCATCGCCGGAGGCGATGATAGCAATGCTACGGCAGAAGCCATAGCAACTTGTGCTGGGATTACACCATTCAACACCATTCAACAGCTTGCAAGGCTGAAGAATTGACCGTCACTATTCAGCCTGGTCTACACCATACAGCTATTTGGAGTGACATTTTCTGGCCAGTGAATCCCTTTTTTGGTCTTTTTCATTTTTTTCTTTTTTTTTTTCTTTTTTTTTTCCCACACACACATCACACCACATACTCCGGCATGCACTGGCTGTTGGTAACCACCCAGGAGAATGAAAGAAAAGTCAGGAAGAGTCTGAGAAAGAGAAGAAAGACGTGTGTGACCATAATCGTCGGGAATCGAACCCGCAATCTATCGATTGGAAATCGCTGCACATACCACTGCACCATATGGGACACACACACACACACACACACACACACACACATACACATTTGAAACACATAGAAACAAATCCACTGAAAAAAGAGTCACAAGCCAGCACAATCTACATGTCTTAGAGCAAAGAGGAAGAGGCAGCCAGTGTACTAGCCACAGAATCAGTACTCCAGGTCATCAAACCAATGAACAGCGCACAGTGCTACTATGCATCGCAAATAGGAAATACAGGTAAAATGCTCCAAACCATACACAACCCACTGCCGAGCAGTCTTACTTTCGACGTGAGAGAAGCAGCTCAGAAGAATCACTCAGGGACTGCAGTAGAGAACAAAGGCAAAGAACAAACATTACAACTTTATGACCGCACGGGAAGAAAACAAGCGTGGAAATACACAAAGGCAAACCAGAGGAAGAGAAATCGAGTTAGTTCCAGCACTTCAGTACATCGGATCTAGAATTATATCTGCTGATGGGCCATTCACATACTGTCCAGACCGTGCCCGGCAGCTTTTCCTTACGGGATTTGACCTAGATCATGTACAGTCCAGATCAAATACAATACTGAAAAGCTGCACGGATGCAGGGATGCAGATAACGGCCGCGCTAGGACGGGACAAATATGGAGGTAGAGTAAATCCTGTCAAGGCGACCACCTGTCCGGGAAGACCACTGAAACCAGGACCAAGGGATGCTATTTCCAGTCAAATGACCCTGGATAAGGAGACCAACGTGTAACAGAGATCACCTTGTGAAGGTGCCTTGAGCGGTCATCTTAGACAGGTTCCACTGTAGAGTGGGCCACAGGAGACTGTGTAGCAGACTGAGTTTATGTGAACGATCACTAGTCCGCCATGCACAACACACATATTCCAACACCGCTGACATCTGTGCTGCACCACTAGACAACTGGGGATACCGAATCCAACACCGTGCAAGCTAACAGCAATGTCCAATCAGGCTAAGAGCATAGAATAACGTTACATCACCAAGCTTACAGCGTAGAACACAAAATCAATTTCACAACATCGAACACACACCAGCACCGTAGGCTTACCTGTGATGCCGATGCAGTACTGCGCAGCAGTTCACGTGTTTCACGCGCCGTCTGTCTGCTTTGAGCTAGGCTCTCACGTGTTTCACTCGCCGTCTGTCTGCTTTGTGCTAGGCTCTGGCGCAGCTGTGATACTTGTTCATCCTGCAAGCGAGGACAAGAAGTGCACGCGACAAGAAACAGGTTATCTACGGCATGACCAAGCAATATCCGAGCAGTTTTCTCCACCGGTTGTTTAGTCTTCCACTCAGAGATAGGAGACAGGAGATAGGAGAATAACAGAGACAAAGTACTGCTGATTCAGCAGCAGCAGCAGCAGCAGCAGTGCTAACACACAATCCAGCAAATGCAATAACACTGGAGCAAACAGGGATGAGAAACCGCACCAAACAATTGACTGAGTAGCGAGAGAGGCTCACAAACATCACTTTAAACAAGCTACTGTAGCTGCGATCAGAAAATCGGTTGGTAGAACATCAACGAACTCAAAGGGATTACTTCCTCGGTAAACTTAAAAAATGACATGTTTTCTGCATTATGATCGCTAACACTGGGTCATGTGACACTTTATGGACTGAAGCAGCTGCGGTACAGCCTGGCCCTGACTCACCAGTATCTGATGCTCAGCAATGTTGCAGAACGGACCAGCAACATGTACATACTCTGCAGGTGGTACAGCAGCACCAGAAGCAGCAGCAGCAGTGCGGCCACCGCTGTTGGAGTACATGCTAGGAGTCCCGGCAACAGTAGCAGCACCGCCGGGAGCAGGAGCTGGAGCAGTCATGCCGTACACGGGGGCGTGGACGTGAACGTGAGTATCGCCACCAGACCTTCCGGACGTTGGCGTTGCTGCTGGTGCCACATCACTGAAGTGAAGCCGTGTCGTGGAAGAAGCCTGCGGGCCACCAACATGCGAGCCATCGGAAAGCCGGTAGCTGACATCGAACAAACGCGACCGGGAGTCGCCGTGCAACGGTGTGAAGTCCTCAGATCGGGAGTAATGATGTGACATGGTGGCCAGTGGAGGTGCTAAGCTAGAGTACGTGCCGTCCAGTGGCGCAGCGCCGCCAGCATCAGACCCCGGTGATGTGGAAGCATGATGGTGGTGGATGTGTTGTTGTTGCCTGCGAGGTGTTGTAGATCCACGTGAAGTGATGGGTACAGTGGATTGTGATAAGCTGGATGACGGCCTGGCAGCGGTGGTGGCAGTGGACATTGCTGTGTTGACTCTGCTGGACGAGTGGGGAAAGTCCCCGGCCCCCGATGTGGCTCGGTTATATTCGTAGTACCCTGTGGATGTGGCCATGGGTATGAAGCCAGGAGTTTGTGTGGTCTGAGCTGCCGGCACACCCCCACGCCAATCAGATGTGTGTGCTCCAGCGTGTGGAGCACGATTGGAGCGTGTAGTGTGCGACGTCGTGCCCTCATTCCCGGTCAGTGCCGTGGAAGCACTGGGAGTCTGCGTTGGACGAGACGATGTGCTGAGCGGGGCTGCGGCCGCAGCGTCGCGATGCACACGGGACGAGCGCTGCTGGCGGGGAGACAGATAGATGTGATGTCCGGTCTCGTCCTCAATGATGTCAGCGGACACGGGGCGGGCGTGGGGGTGAGACGGCGACATCGATGATGATAGTCCCGGGGTGCTGCCGTGCACGGTGGTGTGGTCTCGGCCCACACTGGCATGCTGCTGCTGGTGCTGCTGGTGGTGGTGGCGAGATCGAGCCACCGGTGGTGACACGGTGTGAATGTGTATGTGTGACTCAGAGGAAGATGGAGCCTGTAACATAGAGGACGGCATGCACACACGCACAACGAGGTTAATTTGAAAGCTCGTGCAAGAGATCTACACTGTACATGTAGTATGACAACACAACGACATAGCACTGAGGACCTGCATGCAAAAAGAACAGCTGAAACAGATGACCGTATCACAACAGGTATCTTCAAAATGTCCAGGGAAAGGCCATAACATAACTTCATCCGTGACGCACATGCATGCTGTACACTATACCAAAAACTGACTCTCTACAGCGTAGTCTCTTGACTTGGAAATGTGTACGATTGAAGATTTGTGATTACTATATACAATGTACTGTCGTGGACATTGAAATCCAATGGGATGACCGGGGCCGTCGCCCTTAATGCTTTTAGCACGTACACGCACAGTAGTCCACGTACAAACTGTAAAAATAGGCCAGCACTGCTCACGGCTGAAAGGCCAACACCCCGTGGCCGCGTGACTTCTCAACGGATTTCAATGTTCGCTACAGTAGGTAATACAAGCCACTGCCGTCTAGCGGCATGTACGAATCATTTTGACCACATTTGCAGGTGTGCTTACTTCGTCAGAGTTTTGAATGTCCTGCAGAATGCCATGCTGATGTTGCAACGCCTGGCGCAGTCGCGACAACTCCAGTAGAATGTCATCAAGGCGACCAGCGGAGTACGGAGCATGTCCTGGAGGTGGTGTCACACAATACACACACACACAAAATACAGATACGACGAGGTTGTGTGGAAAAGCACAACTTTCGCACAGAGGCAAAGATCGACCGACTCCAGTGCTGGGACGCCGCCTCTGAACACATTGCGTGCACCCCTGATCCACGTCCACTGACCAAAAAAATTCTTGATCAAAATCATTATTGTTTTCCTGTGGGTGCGCATGAAGTGATCACAAATTGTACAGGAGGACCTTTCTCATCAGCCAGGAGTACTTTTGTAGCTTAGAAAATGCAGAGGTTAGATAGCCAGTAGAGCCCGATAATGCAAAATCGGGAATTTGATGATTTGCCACCCAATGGAGTTGCCCGCTCTGGGGAGCTACGTACTCTTGACTAGTGACATAGTACATGTACTGGAGTAGAAGCAGGAACAAAGGTAATGCCTAATCTTAGGGAAACACTCAAAATACCGACTAACTAGCATTCTCATCTCACCATTCTCTGACGCTGTGCTGGTGGCACCAGACCGGGCTGTTTGCGTCGATCTGCTGGCAGCAGCAGAGTCAGCCGCCGCGGCCTGCTGTGGTAGGAACTGCTGGAGGCGTGAGATGAGACGCTGTTGCTCGGCAACTGCGTCGGACAGTGCTGACAGATCATGCTGTGGAACTGTGCAGTTAGTCACACAACAAACAATACAGGGTAGATGGCAAACATGATCACATCTAGGCCAGGTAGGCATACATGCTAGACGATAATACTGCACAGAATGCGGCCATTCTTCACCGGAAGAGAGAGAGAGAGTGAGAGAGAGAGAGAGAGAGAGAGAGAGAGAGAGAGAGGGAAAGGGAGAGAGAGAGAGAGGGAGAGAGAGAGAGAGAGAGAGAGAGAGAGAGAGAGAGAGAGAGAGAGAGAGAGAGAGAGAGGGAGAGAGAGGGGGGGGGGGGGGGGGAGAGAGAGAGAGAGAGAGAGAGTCTTACCATGGGTGGCAGTTCTTTCTGCTTCAGTTGCTTTCAGTCGAGCTTCGGTTCCCGCCAGCTGTGCACGGAGATGCTGGAGCTGGTGCAGATTAGAGACCAAGGCACAGTTAAGTGCATGAGCAGAGTAGACGACAACATAGTGCAATGCTACTACTAAGGATCTGGTGACACATCTGAAGAATGTTTTAGCCACCCATGGCCAATGAGAAGGCATCATTGCCTGTTTGCCTGATGAAGTAAAAAAAATAAAGAATACCGTACCAAGTACATTCCCTTTTCTCGCATGCGTTGTGCCATGCATCACAATTGTACCATAGCTGCATTCATGCTGTATGCAAGATGTGCAACGCGGTGGATTTAGGCTACTAAAGTAGTTCTACTCGGTTTCTGTGAAGTTAGAATCAGGACCGAGCCGGGTAGAGTTGTGTTTCTGGATGAGCGTGATAAGTCTTCACAGCACCCGTAGCACAACGCACAAGCTCGCGCAAGCGGAACAAGCACCTACCTCTGCCTCGGATCTCGCCACTTGAGTCTCCGCGTCTCTCTTCGCCGCGGTCAAGCGGTCGATCTGAGCGCGCTGCCGGTCGGCTGCCTGCTGCTGCGTGCTCAGCTTCTGCTGGGCACTGGCGAGGGACTTGTCTGCTGTGTGTGACTGGGCGGTCAGCTGCTGTTGAGCCGCATCCACGGCTTGCTTTGTGCTCTCAAGCTGCAAACACGTAAATGAACAACACGTAACGTTGAATCCTACTACAGGTGGAATCCTGATAATTCGAACCTCAGAATGCCAGGAAAAAACTTCTAATTATCCGGACATTCTAATTATCCAAACATGAACCCACAACACAATATGTATGTCAAAATGCTCTCATGGTCACGCAGAGTTGCGCTATGGACCTTAGACACAAATTTTACGGACACTGAACTGACCAGCCTGCTCGTGCAAACTGAACTGACCAGTACAATGTACAGTGAACTTTGAATTACAGTTTGCTAACTTCGAATTATCAGCACAAATTCCACACGTTTTCTATGTAAGTGGAATCTGTGGGACTTCTAATTAACCGGACATATCCAGTTCGAGGTTCGAATTATCAGAAATGTTTATGTGGGAATCGTATTGATAAAAATCGGTCCTGGAAAAACTTTTAATTAAGCGGTATGTTCGAATTAAGCCATATTCGAATTATCAGGATTCCACCTGTATCCTTCATCAAATTCCACTGGAGAATAGAGCTTGCCACTACTGAAAATCGGCTAATTTGAGCGCTGGTGATATTTTAGCGATTTTAGCGAAAGGAGTGTTTTCGCTAAAGTTTTGCAGCGCCAATAGAAAATTTGCACGTACAGCAAGCACAGTACGACTCATCTTTTTTTTAACTCTGAAACTTGGATCGCTAAAGTATTTCATAGCGAATTGGTCCTGATTCAGAAAACGCTAAATTTATACCCGATAAAATTAGCCGTTCTAAAGCATTTAGAGTTGAAATGACCTGAAAGCTGCAGCCACCATCCTATTGACTCTTAACAAGCATGAAAAGTAGATCAATGTGATACTCAATTGCCTGGTATGGCTGAGAGCAACCTCATTCGTTCAACAACTGCAATGATTCCACTCAAAAACAACAGTTAGCAGGAAGAAGCTGGCCAAGACAGCAGAGCCTCCCGGCGAAAGAGAGAGAGAGAGAGAGAGAGAGAGAGAGAGAGAGAGAGACAGAGACAGAGAGAGACGCTGCCACATACAGAGTACATACCTCGGCCTCCAGGCGCGCTACCTGATCTTCTGCAGCTGCTTTCGCCGCCATCAGCTGCGCAATCTGAGCACGGTACTCGTCGACAGCCTGTGCTTGCACATCCAGCTTTCGTTGAGCTGCGGACAATGACTGGTCTGCAGTTCGTTGGTGAGTTTTCAACTGGTGATGAGCAGCGCCGAGAGCTTGCTTCGCATTCTGAAGCTGACACAAGACAAAAGACACCAGAAAAGAATGGAATTGGTTACAAAAAAATCTGAAAGCAAGACAGTGTGTGTTCAACATACCTGCAGTATTGTCCAAAGCTTCACGGTGCACAGCACTGAGAGCATGTTATCAATAGAAGTGAACACGACTACAGTGTATTTCATGGCGTCGCACCATAGCCCTCTTCTGTGGAACTCCCCCCAGCCCACAGATGCACACGCACCAAGCGTGGCTATCGCACAGCAATTGCATTAAAAAACATGACCGGAAGATACACAGACGGAAACACTCCTAGATAAAAATAATAATACCTCAGCTTCAAGGTCTGCAGCTTGTTCCTTTGCGCTTCTCGTTGCTGCTTGGGCCCTCTCCAGCTGAGCACGATGCTCTGCCGCTGTTCGAGTTTGCGCTTTCAGTTGCTCCTGGGCAGTTGCAAGCTGCTCAGTAGCATTATGAAGCTACGCAGGTAGAAAACAACAGAGATGGCACAAAAACCGTATGTCAGCCGCGGATTCGGCATGCTGATACACAAGCAGAAGCCAGTAAAATGAGACCACACGTGAAGAAGTCTAGTGAGCAAAGCTGAAAAGCACAAATGTCATAATATTATACCGATAGCAAGAGAACAGTGCAGTGCACCAAAAGATGGCAAGCTACTGAACATGGCGAAATAAAATTGGCTAGCATTATCGCAGTGCTGTGGAAAGGCGTGCATTTACGGCTAAGCCGAGTATGCCAGTGTTACTCTGGGCCTAGGCACTTGGCGTCTGCGCTGGCTACAGAATTCACTGCTGATGGTCAATGGCCGCCGACATGTTTGCGGGATCTCCAATAGCTGTTCCCAGTACTGCATATAGGCCGACATGTTTGTGGGATCTCCAATAGCTGTTCCCAGTACTGCATATACATGTAGCTAGAGTGAGTACAAGTAGTGCGTGGTAGCCAGAACAGAGGACAGTGCATTGGTTAGGAGTTGAACAGGAGGCCGCAGGAGATGCATCTTTGCTTTTAGTCCACTGCTCATCGCAACACCATTGTCAACTGAACATTCAAATATACTACAGTCCATTCACCAAACTGGGGCCCACAGGATTTTCACAGTCTCACTTCATTCTTATTCAAGATCACGATGTGAATGACTTATGTGCAAAAAGTATTGTTTCAGACACATGTATCTGCCCCCCCCCCCCCCCCCCCCCGATTCGGTGAATGGACTACAGTAGGTGACTTACATCTGACTGTAGTTCAGCTAGTTGGTCTTCTAGCGTGTCCTTCTCTGCCGCCATACGGTCAATCTGTGCACCGAGCTCATCCAGAGAGGACTGCTGGGATACTAGGCGACCTTTAGCCTCGCTCAGAGCTTGCTCCGTAACACGGAGCTGCAGCACAGGGTGCAAAAACATAGCAAACACACGCACACACGCACACACAGACACACACACGCACACACACACACATGCGCATACACATACACACACACACACACAATATTATTAGACAGAAAAAGAGTCCTGCAAGAGCCATATCAGCAGGGTGCCTGCTGCAACAAAACATTAATTAATTCTCAAGCTTTGCCAAGTGGCACGATAAAGTTAAAGTACTGATGTTTACGCCCCTTGGGACTAAGTTATAAAACTTCATTGTTTTGGGTATTGAGTGAAGCACTGATTTTAAGAAGTAGAAGGGGAAGCAGAGGTGTCGAAGTGAGACGTACCTTCTCTCTGGTGCGTTGGTCCTGCTGGTTGAGGTACGCCTGCTGGGCGCTTAGCTCTTCCTGCAGCACACGCTCAGCCTCGTCAGCACGTGCCTACGTAGGAGACAAGATCATACAACACGAAAACAACAATGAGCCTTGGAGTCATGTTGCTGGTGTGATGTTGTCGGTCAGAGAGCGCATGTGGTGGAGGTGCAATTGCTTTATTGATAAACAGGCTGAAAGCTGCTGCTTACCTATTTACAGTAAAAGCCATTATTTTAACGAGGCGCATATTGTAACCATTTCCTAAAATTGACTGGTCTACGTGTACCAAAGGTGACGATTCTCACTCAACGCTCAATAGCAACAGTATTGTATCGATTTCTGTATAATGATTTCTATTCTAACGACAGATTTCTCCCCGTTAACTCATTAGAATTAGCACTTCGTTATACAGTGAAACCTGTGACTAACGATCACCCCTTGGGGCCAGAGAAAGCGGTCTTTAGTGGCAGGTGGTCCTCAGTTAGAGGTTTGCACCGCACAACCAAAATGAAGGTGAGACCGTCCGTGCCTGGCGAAGTGGTCTTTAGTTCCAGGCTGGTCGCTAGTCACGGTGGTCTTTAGTTACCGGTTTTACTGTATATAATTATGGCTTTCACAGTACCTACAATGAGCCATGGCATTAAAAAAACGAGTCCAAGTTTACTCCAGGCTCCATTGAAATCAGTAAGGGCATAATGGGTGATTGTTTCTTGGGGAAGTGAGGTTCCCTGGTCCGTGCAAGCTAGTGAATGCCATTGAGATAAATGCCAAGCAAGAAGGGGTCGGGGTATAATGATAAAGTCCTGTATAATACAGCAGGCAGTTCAACTTTCACATGCACACTGAGACAACACTGATACGCTCTTGGCCGCAAATCCTCTCGTTCACATCAACATAGGGTCAAAAAGCCAGTTCGACCCACTGGCACCAAACTGCCTGCCTACATATTACCGTCACCTACCCTGGCAGACTTCACCTCTTCCTGCAGTCGTCGTCTCTCAGCTTCAGCCTGGGTCAGCTGTGGGCAGCAGTAGAAACACACAGATGATAACTAGCCAGTCACTCACTCACACTTTACACGGGAGGGCCCGCAGCAGAAAGCACCACGATTGGTGTTCGGGGAAAAATGATGTGAATGGCAAGCAAAAGTGGCGCACAGAAAGGTTTTACATTGCTGAAGATTTCCCTGCAAAAAGAAGCTTGCTTTACAGACGTGTACTCTCAATGTGTGAAGACTCCACTGTAGCCATCCAGTATATCCATACATCCTCACCACACTCTCCAAGCGGTCTCTGGGCAACTCCAATCGATTACAAAAACATAAAGGATCAGACTTTTCGGGCAAGGGTCATGTTCTTTCTGAGCGCGTTGTAAGGATGTACGCTCACAGAAATTTAGTACAGAGAACTAACTACAAGCTTACCTCCGCCTTCAGTTTCGGCGCTCTGTCCTCTGCGGCTTTCTTAGCGGAAGACAAGCGGTCAATCTGCGCTTCCAGATCTTCCACTGTTTGCGCTTGTTCTTTCAACTGCTCTTTAGCCGTGGAAAGGGCTTGCTTTATAGAATTAACCTAACGAAAACAAAGCAAGATAGATAGGTAGATAGATGAGATAGTTTTCAGTTCATCCTGCACTCCAACACGTCAAGTGTGCGCAAGCGTGCACGTGTGTATGCGTGTGTGAGAGATTTCACTCGAACGTGCATGTATACAATTGTTTCTGCTCTAAAGATGAAAGTTGACGAGCGACATGTGCTTGTGACATTACACTGGGAAGCTGAGGTGAGAATTGTGATTTACGACGGCAATAATACAACATACACATCAAGTGGTATGGCACAGAGCGCACTTCAAAGCCAGTGCAAGACGTGCAGTAAACGATAGAAACACCAGGGTTGCAGGACAGTTTGGAGAAGCCCAAGGCTCAGACAACACATGTAGAATCAAGTACACTATATTAGCACACAAAGAGACAAAGCCAGTTGTAAAACTGATGAGGCCTTTCGTACCAGTACTTCTCAAATCAGTACAAGTCATGGTGATAATGTGTGAAAATGTGTTCTCCTCCGATGAAGTCCTTATCTAAGTACACAACATACATATTGAGAATTGTCGTTCCGCTCCGACATGACCAGAGCTTGCGTTTCCGCGATTTCGTTCCGAAGCTGCTCAAGCTCTGCATCGGTGGCTGCCTGCAAGTTAGGGAGAATGCACATTGGTGTGAAACACATAATACAAATGAACATACACATGCACGCACGCACGCACACACACACACACACACACACACACACACACACACACACACACACACACATACATACATACATACATACACACACACACACACACACACACACACACACACACACACACATACACACACACACACACACACACACACACACACACATACATACACACACACACACACACACACATACATACACACACACACACACACACACACACACACACACACACACACATACATACATACACACACACATATACATCATACATACACAGGGGTATAGAGAAGGGAAATCAACTCTCAACGGCAACTCGCTCTGAGTGCACACGTACACATGTTTGCATGGGCACAAACTCACATAATGTTTGAGCTTGCAAGGACATGTCTGTCCTCATCAAGATAATTATGTCCGTGCCAATTGTTTCATGTTACATCTATAAATCACTGTTCAACAACACGGTGTTGATAGGCTAGTCATACATAGTGCAAGGCAGTTCTGCTGCAACCACTGACTGGCTCTTGTACATAGTGCAGAAAGGCAGTTCTGCTGCAGCCACTGACTGGCCATCGTACACAGTGCAGAAAGGCAGTTCTGCAGCAGCCTCTTTCGCGACATAGCAGGATCTATAACAAGAATGCAGTTCCACTTGCAGACTGCATGTCCAACAAAAAAACCTGGAAGAATATTGCCGTCAGCTGGTCGTGCACCTAACGAACAGGTGGATCAGCTATGCCCCTGGAGTTCTGCAGCAGCCACTGACTGGTGCTTGCATAAGATACAGATGAGCTCTCACCTTGTCCATAGCATCTTTCCTGTCCGCTGCCGCCATCTCATTTCTCAGTTGCCTGCACTCAGCAGCTGCCTACAAATATACAAAAGCAAGACCAAACAAAGAGATTATGTGTGAAAACTGAAAATACAGTGCTCATTTGAATGTAGGTGAGTTGCCTGCAAATGAATGATGTACAATGAAGCTGCATAATACGTCCGTCAGCATTTTGATACAAGAGCACGACCAAACAAAAAGGATTTGATTCAGAAGCCCTTTGGTTAGTGTGCCCTACTTTTCTGGTTAGTGAAAGCAAGGCCATTTGAGAGTGACAGGAATTTTTTCGAAAATCTGCATATTTTCATGGATTGCAACTTCAGTTCTACTCCCTCAATCAGTTTACAGCCTTGAGCCTCCTGGAAAGGTCTCGGTGAGAGGAGAAACTTAAATCAATCATAAGGACTAGACAACTGTGTCGCCAGCAGTGCGAAAAATGCATGCAATTTCACCCTGCCCACCCTCTTTGTTTTTCTCTATCACCAACTTCTGAAACCCTTGCAGATTTGTAACTTCGCGTGAACATTTTTAATCGCTCGAGACGTGTTGGGGTGCTTGTCAATTTGCGAGCAATTATCTCCAGAACTGCTCATTACAGTCATTCACGGATTGTCTCTACTGACAGCTGAAAGCTTTCTCTTCAACATGGATAATCTAATTTCAGGAAAATTAGGTGCTCAAAATTTTCGGTCAGCGAGCAAAAGGCCAGGTTAGGTGAACAGACATTTTAGGCACAGGGAAGCAGTTCCCCACTGGATTATGTGTGTTGGTGTTTGTTCGGTTATTGAAGCCTTTAATAGGTATGAAACAGATGCGCCGAAAGTACCGAAAATAAATGTACACCGAAAATTTGTGAAATTACAGTATTTCGATTTCATAGGGTGGTGGTGGCTCTCAAAGCTGTTACCTGTGCATGGCGACGATGTGCCAGCTCTGCTTCCTCAGCCAGTGACTCCATCAGCTTGGTCAGGCGATGACCAAGCTCCGCCGTCGGCTTGTCCGTCAACTGGGTAACGGTGGCCAAATCGTCAGCGGCATCACGATGAGGGCTGCGCGGCGGATTGGACTGCATGAACTCAGCCAGGGCACTGGAAACATGACGGGCTCGTGGTGACTCCTCGGCTTCAACTGGATCTAAGCAATACAAACGGACCATTCAACAGAAGCCAGCATATTGGGAAAGCAGGGAAATCAATCATGATGCTAGTACGGCAGTGCCGAGTTTACATGACTCACTGGCAATCAAACGTAGATGAAGTACCTGATGAAAACTCAATTACTTTCCAAATTACCCTGGGGAAATTTTACGTGAATGCCCATAAGAGGCATGCAGAGATTCCTAATAAGGAGTGCTGGTATCAAATGTACTGTGATACAGGCTTAGACAAGATTGGCCAAAGCAGCTACACAGAGCGTCCCAGGAAGCAGCAACAGAGAACCATTACAAAGCGCAGGCGCTACGAGCACGTCTTGCACAGCGTGTCCTCTCTCAATCTGCTCCTACAGTACTGTCGGTGGTCGAAGAACTGGGGGGTCAGCCTCCTAGCCTAGACCGTTATTATTTTTCATGTATTACAGTCTATGCACAGTTGAGCCACTGTGTATACATTGGTATGCTGTGCTTGGTGAAATTCTAGCCTGGTCGCTCTTCAGCGCTCCGATGTTTGTTGCCCGACAGTGTCCTGTAAGCTGCTACCCAGTCGGGGACACACCGACACTGTCCTGTAAGCTGTAAGCTGCTAGCCAGTCAGGGACCTACCTGTTGGTGTTTGGTAACCTGGCCGTGCGTCTTGCTCCAGCGAACCCACTAGCTGGGAGAGGCGCAGTAGCAAGCTGCCATCCAGCGCGTGCGGCTGACGCAACGAGGAAACCGACGCCTCCAGGCCGTCCGCCTGCTGTGACTTGGCAGCCAGTGCATCCTGCAGAATGGACACAAGTTTGAGAGATACAACACACAAAGTAACGTTATATAAAAAAATTGCAGTGTTGTAGCACGAGCTGATTGTCCAGTAACTAGTGGTGCTAGTGGACAGTATAGCGTAACTTGTAGTTTCTAGGTCATTTTTTCTTTCCCATAACATTTTTTACCTAGAAAAGGGGAAGTGAGATACACACAGTCGACCTCGCCAATAAGGACTTTGGATATAATGACACCTCGCTATTAAATAACGACACATTTTTGATGGCCAGAGCCTGCACATTGTAGTCCAGTGGTCTAGAGGTCGAGGTCAGTCCTTCTGCTTGCTACTACTGTAGTACCTGTGCCGCCACATCCAGCCAAGATGGGAATCACGCCCGACTCATACTTCATGTGGCGTACGGGAAACACTTCGCAATGCGCATGGTATGGTAATGGTCGCATGATGGAGCAAATGCTAGTAAGTTGAACTCAACACAACGTTTTGGACACGACGGACGTTGTAGCGCATTTCCTGAATGGATTTTCGCAAAAAAAGGAATAAAAAGAAAAGAAAAAAGCTATTTAAAAAAGATCAGCTACCAGCTTGTAAAATTGAGAATATCTAACTCTTCCACATTTCTCTGCTTTTCGTTCAGACCGAGGCAGTTCCAAACTGTCTGCACCCGAATGCTTCTGGCCTTCACGTTGTACTGGGCATGCATGGCATGTGATGGGTCTACCTTGGTCGGTTCAACTCGGTTGTGCTCACAAACAAAAGTTACAAAACCAACTGCAGTTCCGGCCAGAGAAATCCGACAAAATGACTCAAGCAGCGCCTCGCTCAGGTGAGCCGAGTGGCGTTTGTGATGCTAGCTAGGGCTATGTAGACACGGTCGGGTTTCTCTGGCCAGGACTGCGCATGTACTCAAGTAACGTTACACACCTGAAGTGCCTGGATCTGGCGCTCGTACTGCACGCGCAGCGCGTCCAGCTGCTGCAGCTGATTGTGCGCTTCGTCCAGCGTGTGCCGCAGAGCCTGGTTGTCGCCGTGCAGATCGGACAGCGAGTCTCTCTGCTCCATGGCCCTGGCCTGCGCAGACACAGAAAGAAACACAAATCAAAGCAACACAACGCAGGGCAGCAGCATTGGGATGTCAGGTGGTCTAGCCAAATGGGGGACAAAATGGACATTACATGTATTGACGAAAACCCCCATTTTTTACGAAATGGGGTCGACTTTTTTTTTCTTGACCAGAAATGGACATTACATGTATTGACGAAAACCCCCATTTTTTACGAAATGGGAGGGTCGACTTTTTTCCGAAATATTAAAGATGCGGGAATGGCCGGATCGGCCGGACTGGGTACTACGGCCCTGCAACGGGATGAGGTGAGGCAACATGGCTAGGGTTCCGATGTACAAGCATGCGCTACATTGTTGTAGAGTTGAACTCGGATGGTGAGCCAATTTAACTATGGTAAAAAAAGGAGAAGGACAAAATGTTACGAGTTATGACTAACCGTTCACCAACGTAACCAGATCATATACAGTCAGCGAGTGCGACAAAATGGCACATAACTGACAAGGAGTACTGAGACATTCAACGACCTTACACCTAGCTCCAACACTTCTCCAAGGCGCAAACCAACGACCTTCCAAGTTAAAAGCTCGGGTCAGGAAAGGTCCAAGATACACGATCTGGTTACGTTGGTGGACAATTAGTCATAACTTGTAACATTTTGTCCTTCTCCTTTTTTACATTGTAGAGATAGGAGAGAAACCAGAAGAGAACATTATCACCAACTAGAACAATGGAGCGGTGCTTTCCTGCAGGTTTGCCGAACTGAAGGCTCGAGGGACTTCTCGGGTGCTCTGGATGGCAGCCGTGAGTCAGTCAAGTGTCGAGTCAAGGCGGCGGAAAAGCACGAGCTCCAGTGTGGGGGAGCAAACACTTTCCTAGAACAAATGTATAATCTGAACACGGTATTGGAGCCCAGAGTGGTACGCTGAAATGCCTCCTGGAGCAAATGCATCTTTCTGGCAAGGGTGCCACCATAGCAGGGGATGTGCACCCATGGACAATAACAAGTAAAAAGGTTAATGAAGCAGCAGATTCCATCCAGCCTACTTGGCAGATTCGGAACTTTGGCCTGAAAAATAAACTACATCTCACCCTCTCCTGGTCCAAGGTCTGCTGCAGGCCCTGTGCTGTTGCAGTGGCGACGTGAACCTGAATGAAACAAGACACCAAGCAATGGCACTGGCTTCAGCTTTCATGATAGTGATGTCTGGACCTACACACCATGCAGTAACTCGAAAAAGAGTCAATTGAATTTAGGCATCAACATCAACGAAAATGTATTCAGTCGGCAGGAAGCGCGAGCTCCGACGTTTGGAGCAGACACTTTCTTCGCCAAATACCGCCGATGTCGCAACATCTTAGTTTGTACTGGTGTCCCTCGCGCGGGAATGCCACTAGATGGTTGGAGATGACAGCGTTGCGAATGGCAAATGGCCATCAGTGTCTGTTCTCGCAACTCCATGTGCGACACTGACTCGCGCTGCTGCTGCCTGGTGCTCACGAGGCTTGTCGCGCTGGATACGGAGCACTACTGTAAGTTGGAATCCCTAGTGATGTTTCGGCTCCGAGAGCACTCCTGGAGTCTCCATAATGCAGTGCTCTTGGAGCAGAAATTTCATTAGCCTACTCAAGCTCAACTGATGAAGGGTGAATTCCCCGAAACATTGTGTATTGAGCAGGGAGTGGTGTTTTCTCGCAGGTTTGCGGAGTTGGAAGGTTCGACGGGCTTCTCGTGCGCTCAAGACGCAGTCGTGAGTCAGTCAAGTATCAAGTCAGTTGGCAGGAAGCGCGAGCTCCGATGTTTGGAGCAGACACTTTCTTCATAAAATGTATTCAAGGTACAATGGAAGAGAGTAGATAATAGAATAGGCAACAGGGTTTGCCAAGAACAATCTTCTCTTTGTAAAGGAGTGGAGTTCATCCGAATGGGGTTGGGGAATAGCATGCCACAAACCTGTTGATTGCTTCGCTGCTGCTCCGCAGTCACGAGTGCCTGAAGCTCGGCAACTTCTCGCCGCACCTGATCAAGCTCGGCGTTGGCTGCGGACTGTGGAGACAATGCACATTGCCAGCATAGCACAGAGCACAAGGATGAGTACCCACACCCGTTCACCCACACATGCATGCCCACACACGCACGTACACACACAGACATTCG